CCCACCCCACCCTCTCTCGTGCACTCCAAAATACTCACTCGCTTTTGAAAGCGTGGAACGGGCAGTGTGTCACGTCAGTCCAGTTAAGGCACTGGACAAAGGACCGTGTGTAGTAGACATCGCCGGCGTAGGAGGCCCCGAGGTCCTCTGTGTTGTAGCACAGATCGCTGTCTGTGGATCAGTGCTTGGGTCAATTATTGTGCGCAATTTTTGACGCTCCAGTTTCCAACAGACAATATTTAATTTGCTACCCTGAAATTACAAAGTACTATTTGTTCAGCATCCAGTTTGGAGAAATTTGACGTGAAATTTTTAAATTTTCACAACGTGTCAAGTTTTTTTCGAATGCAATTCTTTGAATATCTCGATAACGACTATAGATAATCTTACGATTTTGATAGACCATTAATTGGTTCCAGACCTCATGGTTTTAGTAACTCAACCGCCCCCCCCCCCTCCCTAGAAAAAACCCAAAAAAACAAACAAAAAAACCCAACAACAACAGACAGCAACAAAAAAACCCACTCAGATAGAACTTTTTAATTCTTAAGTAGCAAAATGTCGGTAAAATGTTAAAGAAAGAGTTTGTTTTATTCTTTTCTAAAAAATTGTTGATTTATAAGCTTATAATATTGGAGCATTTGGCTGATAGCATAGAGTTTTCACAGTTCTTAATTGAGAAAAAACATGAAAATGCCCTTGAACAGAAAACAAATCAAGACGAAGGAACTTTAAAAGAGCTATAGAGAAATATGGCTTGATACTTTGCAAATTCTTTCTTTCGCGGTTCTCGAAGGTAGTCCAACAAAACCTACAATTTCTTTTCCATCAAACCCTGTTTTTCTTATTTTGTTGTTGTTGAGGATTGGGGGGGGGGGGGTATTTTAGTTACCTTTGACAAGAGTAAACGTTGCCCTGAAGCTGGACTGGGAGCCCTGGAGTGTGTAGAACTGCATCATCATCGTGTTGTAGTGACTGATGATGGATTGACCAACTTTGGAGCCACAGAATCTGAAGAAGGTATAATGGTAGTGCATATCAAGTCGTCATTCAGTTTTAAAAAAACCACACCAACAAACAAACAAAACACCCAATGCCAAGTAAACAATAGATAAAAACAAAACAGGTATCATTGAATTTCAGCACAAATTAGAACAAATCTAGTATTTTCAAAACCTGATCTCGTAGACCACACAAAAACACAAGTTGCATTG